CGGGCTGTCGGGAGGCACCGCTGTGCTCCTGCACCCCCCCGGCAGCCTGTTTTGGGGAGGATGTGGGATTTGAGCTCTCCTGCGTTTTGCAGATGTAAATGCTGAGCTGGGCTGTGTCTAGGGCAGCACCCCGCGATCCCCCTTCCAAAGGGGACCGAGCAGTGGCTGCAGCAGAGCCCCAGGCACCTCACTGTGCCCCAGCTGAACTCCAGGGAGCAGCGGCCAGCACTGTCCTCTCTTATTTGGGTTTTTGCCTAAAACAGAACCGCCTCTCCTCACCCCAGGTGGGACTCGAACCCACAATCCCTGACTTAGAAGGCCAGTGCCTTATCCATTAGGCCACTGGGGCCACACAAGAAGATGAAAAAGTGTAATTTTAGTATCTTTGAGACCCCCAGTGAACTGATCTGTGGAGCTGAAACCCACATTCCACCACAGAACTTCATTCTCTTTAAGCAGCGTCCACTAATGAGCAACTCTTGAAGCCTGTAAGGCTCAGCCTGGGTTGGGTTTGGGTTTTTTGGTGTTCCACCCCAAGGGCCAGAAGCCTCCTGTATTTACAGGGCAGTTTCTGGCTTTTAGCGCTAACAGAGAGCAACTGCCTCCTGCCAAATAAGCACTCCTTTTTGGTTTGGAAAAAAATCGACTAAAAGGGAAGGGAAGTGCCTGAAATGGTGAATACTCTATTCGCTACTCAGGTAAGTGGTTAGACTGCTTTTACTCTTCCCGTTCTTCCCCCAAAATCTACTGTTGCTTATGTGTTCAGCAGCAGAGGGTGCTCTCACAGAGCAGAAGGCTGGATGAAGGGGACAAAGAGTAAAAAAAAAAAAAAAAAGTACCTGACAAAAATCAGAATTTTTAGTTTCTCTCAAACATGAACAGTAATTTTTCTGTAAAATGACTGACAGGCTGTCATGGTGTATCATTAAGTTCAAAGAAGAAGTTAAATATTTTTATTTATGTTTTTAGACCAGTTTTATTCAATCCAGCTCATGAGTTTAGCATTATCTACAGCTGCCAATTTCATTTCTTTAAAAAGATGCTAGGCCAAGGACTTCCATCTCTGTTGTTCTCAGTCAAAGTCAGCCTTCCTGCTCTGTTTTATATTTGAGTGTATCTTTTTCTGTCGTAGTCGTTCACGGTTCATCTTTTCCACCCTAAAACAAAATGAAAAGATCCTTTAGTATGCAAAGAAAACATTTAAATATTCAACTTTGAGCACAGTTATGATGTAGATGAGCTGACAAATGTCCAGAGACAGAAAAACCAGTCCCTGTTCTTGGGATGCTACCCAGGAAAGCCGTTAAGGTCTAATGGACCCGTGATTTTTTTTTTTTAAAAAGGAAATCCAAATGAGCGTGAAAAAGATTGTTTAAAGAGGCTGCAAACTAAATCATGGAACATGATCTGAATCTGTCTCACATAAAGGCCATTTCAATAAAGATACCTCTCTATGAATTTCTGGGTAGTCTCCTTAGACACCACCTTGGGCTTCTCAGTAGCCTCTGTGACCATGGTTCTGATTTTTTCTAAACAAATCGCCAGATTCCTCATTTGGTAGCGACTCTCTTCAGAGTTCACGATCAGCTCACCAGCTCGGTTTATCTTATTCCTGTGCTAAAGAGAGGAAAACGTGATGTGATCACTGAAACCTTGTTAAGACTTGTCATGTTCTGTCTGAAAGTGTGAAATTTAAACCGTGGCTGGAAGGGGAAGGAGGGCAGTTACCATCAATGCCATTTTTTGTCTTGTGGCTTCTGGGATCCAGTCTGCTGATGCCAGGTGGAATCGAACTTCTGCCTTGGTATTGACTGGGAGGAAAAACAGGATTAATTTTTTTCTTTCAATGTAATGGCTTGCCTTCCTAAGTTTTATGAGACAATTCAGCCTGTTCATCGCTGGCTTTGAACACAGGATGACTCCAGTATCAGTTTCCTGAAAGGTCACAATTTTTTTCTTGCTACATTTTTACATACCACTCTACAAGACCAACTCTAAATTTGTACGGAGCCTCTGCTACGGTATTCGCCTTTCTAGACACTATAAGATTTATTGCTATTGCCAGTCACTAACTACCTTATTTTTAATGGCAATGGCAGATCAGGAAGGATTTGTAGTTTGTTTGATTAAGCTGAGAATTCATTGCACTGTGAAGTTTCCAAATCTAGTTGGCTTGTTGTATGTTTGGTTAATGAAAACAGATTAGACAGAAGTGGTGTTTTGTGTGACGTGTAGCATCGATGATCCCAGTAAGAGTATTTCTAGGAGAATCCCATACAGTACCGCTGCTCTTGAGCACTGTGAAGACTTACGATACTGAAAAATTAGCATCAAGCAGCATAAAGATGCTCTTTAATGTCAATCTCCCAATATTTCACCACAAAGTTTAAAGAAGCAACTTAAAGATTAGGATTTTTCCGTCAAAGTCTCTTCCTCACCTTTATTAACGTGCTGCCCTCCAGGGCCGCTGCTCCGGCAGTAGGACACGGTCAGGCGAGCTGGAAGAGAAGAGCAGCAGCACACTGAGCCGGAGACGCGTCCCCAGCCGGTTTTGCCGTGGGCAGCAGGGAACGGGGACAATCCAGGCTGCAGGGCGCAGGCCTGAAGGATGCCTGTGACTCGGTGGAGCTTCCACTCTGGGTTTAGCTCCGTGCGTTGAGCACGGACTCTGTAGTCTGGAGCCCAACCCACCTCCGGGCACTTAAGCCAGGACAGGCCCAGCTGAGCACCTGGGCCCAGGTCCGTCTGGGGGGAGACTCACCCAGGGGGATGTCGAGGGCGGCCGGCTGCGTCTC